GCCCGGGCTGCCTGAGCTGCACCCTCTCTCCTGGGCGCCGGGCAGTGAGGTTCCTCCGTTGCTGCGAACCACGGCTCCTCATGCCTGCCTTCTCCCTTTGTGTCCCGCAACAGCTTCTGCACCAAAGCCACAGGGGTGGCCCTTGCCCCACGATCAGTGGGCAGAACCCGAGGCCGCAGGGACTGATCTCGTTTGCAGCTTCTGGCTCCTCGATGGGCAGGGGGCAAGGGTGCTGGGATGGCTTCGCCTGGCTTCAAGGCCCCTTGTAGTCGGGAGCCTTCCTGGGGCCCACGGAGGCTCTGTCCACCCTCCTGGGCCCTGAGGCCCCAAGTTGCTGGTTGGTAAAGGCGGCAGAAGGGCAGTGACGGCCGCACGGTCCTCCCTGTGTCAGCCCAGGTCTGGGGCTCTCTTGTGTGCAAACTCGCGGCAGGGCGAAAGGCCGGTCATTCCAGAGCCTTAGGAAAGAATGCCTCCAAGTTCTCTCCTTGAGCTCAGTGGCCCTGTAGCAGGTGAGTGCCACGTGATCCCCCACGTCACCTGATGTGTTGTCTCTGCCTGCAGGTGCTGCGTCCAGGCAGGATCTCTGCTTTGACCAGGCTGCCGTCTTCATCGAAGATGCCATCCAGGTGGGTGGCACCCGTTCCCGGTGGCTGGGCCTGGGCCCGCCTCTAGGTTTTGTGGGGACTGGGTGACGGCTGCCCCGATGGGCCCCTCCTCGCTGTCCTGGGGCCAGGGCCTCGGTCGCTGGACCGTGTGGCCGTGATTACCGTGATGACGGGCACTTCGGGCACGGCTCGCCTGGAGTCCTCCCTAAAGCAGGTGGGCACTGGGTGCTCTTTTGAACCCTGGAAACGCTCGTTTCGTTGAGTTACCACCTACTGAGGGCCTGTCCGGGTCTTGGGAAAGATGCTCCAAGATGGCCAGACCATCCCCTGCTGGAAAATGCTATTGAGGCTCGATTCGGGAAATAGATATGGAAGGGAGCAGTGTGCCAGGTGGGGGGCATCCTGGAGAGCGGCACCGTTGTAGGGCCTTGCACAGCAGAGGGGACAGCGTCACGGGCAGGCAGAGGGCGCAGCTGTGCACTTAGAAACAGGTATCCACGCGGGGCAATGGATGCCCAGGGTGTCCTGAGTCTGCCTGCTAACGTGCCCCTGCTGGGCCACGAGAGAGCCCTTTCTCCACGTGTGCGATCGAGTGGACTCCGGTCCACAGCCTGTGTCCCCGCCTAGGGCCCGTCGAGGGGTCAGCGGGGGCCCTGCACGGGGCTGGCCGTGCTGCGTGGCTCCGAAGGGGCCCCTGCTCATGCTCTCCTGTGCGTCTTTGACCTTCAGTACCGCTCCATTAACCACCGCATGGACGCCAGGTCGATGTGGCTTTACCGACTGTATTACTCCAACACCTGCCAGTGGTGAGAGGGGGCACGCCGCGCGGGGTGCCTGCGGCCTGGCTGGGTGGGGGGAGGCCGGCTCAGGGTCCAGGCGGGCTCCCCCTCCCCTCTCTCCTTGCCACGGGGCCCAGCCCACGGAAAGCGGGGCCCTCCTGGTGATGAGGTCCAGCCACGCCACTGAGTTTTGGCCTGGGCACCGTCAGCTGACCGCTCCAGAGTGGGCACAGACCGCGAGGCGGGGGCTCTGCTTCTGGAAGCCACCAAGTGTGGCCTGCTGTCCTGCCCGGCCCTCTGCCGGCCGATGTGCTTTGCGGCCCAGAGCCTCGCTGGCTCGTGCGTTTCAATTAGGTCTGGTTCTTTTCTCAGGACGTTGAGCCTCACCATCTTCTTGATCCTGCTTTTGGCTTTTATCGAGACCCCTTCCTCGCTCACTAGCACCGCGGACGTCCGCTTCCGCTCGGCCCCCTGGGACCCGCCCTGTGGCCTCACCGAGAGCGTCGAGGCGCTCTGCCTGCTGGTCTTTGTGGCTGACATGTCTGTGAAGGTGAGCCGGGCGCCATCAGGTGCCAGAGCGCGGGGGCCGGTGCCCCCCCAGCCTGCGTGCTGCCCTCCGGATTAACCTTTACGCTCCCGGAGCTGGCTGCCTTTTGTCTCTGACTGCACCTTCCCCCTGTGAGCAAAAGGCCTGGGTTGGTTGGAGGACAAGAGACCCCGTCAGCTCTTCTCTCTCTGGACTAAACCGAGTCTGGGTTCGGGCCTGCCGGGTGCACGGCCTCGCGGGGCCTCCGGGAGTGGCCCAGGGTCTGGCAGTGCCTCTGTGAGGAGAGACCCCGGTGGAACAAGAGAGGACCGGTGGTCTCGCTTGTGGGCCGCCCTCCCGCCCCCAAGAGAGGAGGAACACGGGAGGAGGTGGGTGTGGGCCGGAAAAGGACCGGCTGCCGCGCGGTCTGACCCGAGTCCTTCGGGAAGCTGGAGGTGGGTCCGGCCTTCCTCATGTGAACTTCTGAGCCACGTCAGGGGTTCAGAGCCATAGCGGCTTTCCAGCACGATGCGGAGGGGCCGAGAGATCTTCCTGTGGGCCACACGTCCTGTTACTTTGGTCCAACGGTGGTGATCCCAGCGCCACAGGCCCAGCCGAGCACACGCAGCTGGCCACGGAGCCCCAGTAGTGCGGCAGACTGTCCCCAGAGCCCCGCAGGGCCTTGGTCTGGTGCCTGCCGGGCTGTCCTGCTGTGGGGGTGGCTTTGGGCTGCTGCTGCTGGCGCTGGGGGCCGTGGGGGACCGAGGGCCCGGACCGCTTCACGTTGTTTCTTTTTTAGCCCACGATGTGTTTATGGGTTTGAGGGTTTTCAGACTGGAACTGAAACTGGGGAGCGGTTCTCATTAGCGTCTTCCGAACGGTTGGGACGGTTGGGGAGTCTCGAAAGATAGAGAGCGTACGTTTTTGTCTGTGCAATGTGACCTCTGGATGCCCCTACTGCCGGTGGGGCTGTTGGCACCTGGCCAGTGGGCCCCCGAGGAAGACCTGGTCTAGACGGTTCTGGGTGTGGGCCGGCCCTAACCAGAAGTGGACCACGAGTGCCGTTGCCCTTTTCCAGAACGGCTCTTTTCCAGAGTGGTTTCTGTGCGCAAGCCAGACTGGCGGCCGGGACGGGCAGGACCGATGAGGAGGCGGGCCAGAGGGGTTAAAGTGCCCGAGGTCACCAGCGGGCTGGGGGGGGGG